TCTACCACAACCACCGCCGACTTTCACCATCACCACCACCTCTATTGCCTTCCACCACTGTCATTGCCACAACCACCATTCTTGGTACCTTCAACTACCACACCGATGCCAGCTCCACTTCCTTTAGCCATCGTCATTACCATCTCCATCGTGGCGATCGCCACTTCCACTGCCTTTCACCACTCTCATTGCCGCCACCACCACCACCATTACCACCACCATTGCCACTGCATTCACCATCACCACCACCTTCCACCACCACTGCCACCTTCCACCACCTCTACCACCGTTATTGCCACCGCCCCCACCATAGCTGCTTTCCACCACCATCACACCGCTCCGCCACCTCCATTACCTTCCACCGCCACCTCTATCACTACTACTACTACTGCCGCAGCCACATCTACCTCAACTTCCACCACCACCACCTCCATTACCACCACCATCAACTTCTATCACCACCGCCGCCGCCACTGCCACTGACTTTCATCACCACTACCATATTCCACCACCACCGCCACCACCTTTACCTCCACCATTGCCATCACCTCTACCTTTACCACTTCCGCCACCTCCACCTTCACCATCACCGCCACTGACTTCCATCACCACCATCACCTTCCACCACTGCCCTCGCCACCTCCATTGCCACCGACTTCTACCACTGCCACCGCCTTCCACCACCACTACCACCTCCACTGTCGTCTTCTACCGTCACCTCCACTACATTCCACCACTGCCACCTTCCACCACCACTTACACCACTGTCATTTTCCACCACCACCACACCACTACCACTGCGACTGCCTTCCATCATCTCACATACACCACTAACATCTTCCACCGCCACCGCCATTATCACAGCCTTCTACCAACATGTTGTTGCCTTCCGTCACCACCATCGTTGCCTTCCAATACCATCACCTACACCATTACCGCTTTCCACCTCTACCACCATCAACCACCACTGCCATTCTTTAAAAAAAATTATAGAAGAATGTTTTTTGTTAATTTAAATTATTTGTCACTTATAGGATTTTGAATAATTCAATTTGAAATTCATTCTTTTCTAAATTTTACATTAGTCCATTCTTACAAATTTCGTATTTGTAACCAAATAATAGAATGAGAATGACCACTCCATTCCATTCTATTCCTATTCTCATTCCATTCTCACTTGCATTCCATTCCATTCTTGCACACCAAATGCATCATTAGGACTCTTTGTTGGGTTTGTGGCTCGAAATTTGTGGTCAGTAATTAATTTCCTTTTCCATTTTGGAATGCTAAAATTTGTGGAGGAAATTTTATCCCATTAATTTCTATTTTAAAGTTGAAGACCAATATGATAACTCCTTGTAGTCAAGTTGGGGAATACATTTGCTCGATAAGAAATTGGATTTGAAGACTCTATAAATAGAGAATGGTTGATAGGTAGAGTGAGAGAAAAGAGAGGAGAAAAGATGCAAGTGGTTTAAAGATGAGTGTTGTGAGGAGAGAGGAGAATATATGTAATTCCTGAGTGTTTACATATAGCCTCAAAAAAGATGATGAATGAGTGATTAAGTTTTGATATGTGGTTGTATATGCTATTCCTTTATTCATAATAGTGAAATCTCTCTCTCCATGGACGTAACCCTAGAGTTGGGTGAACTATGTAAAACACTATGTTGTGCGTGTATGTGTATGATTGTTATTCCCAAATATGCATGTTTTCGTTGTGTGTGATGATGTTTTCGTTGTGTGTGATGAAAGAATGATTTAACTCTAAAAAAACAGTTGACAGTTGAGTGGGTTGGAGGGAGTGATTAATATGATATTTTCGTTGTGTGTGATAAATGAATGATTTAATTCTAAAAAAACAGTTGACAGTTGAGTGGGTTAGAGGGAGTGATTAATCCCCAAGCAATTGGTATCAGAGATGATGGTAGGTCAGAGCCTGTGATTGGTCTTGAAGATCAGTAGCAGAAAATTAGTGTGAAGTTTGTCAGAGGATGACCGTGGGTGCTATGGAGATTTAATTAAAGTTAAAGATGACACGAAAAAGATAAATAGTGTGAAGCCCATGAGAAACAAGTCTTAGGGATAAGCAAGAGAATGGGTGTTAGTTCTCAAGATTGGGCAAGGGTGTAAAGACTGAATGGAAAGTGTAGAAGAGAAGTTTGTTACTTTGAACCAGAAAAGCAACTGATGAGGATAGGTTTGAAGATTGGTGGGTTATTATGGGTGAGCAATTAAACACCAATGGAGATGATGGATGGTGTCTTATTTGAGGTGGAGAGATCTTCAGTTAAGGTGGAGCTATGAAGATATCATTATTCGAAGTAGAGCTATAGAGGTACATGTGAAGATCGATTTCGAGCTAAGGTGGAGAATGTTGGGTTTGTGGCTCAAAATTGGTGTGCAGAAATTAATTTCCTTTTTCATTTTGGAATGCTGAAATTTGTGGAGGAAATTGTATCCTATTAATTTCTATTTTAGAGTTGAAGACTGATATGGTAACTCCTTGTAGGTAAGTTGTGAAATACTTATCTAACAAGGAATTGGATTTGAAGACTCTATAAATAGAGAAAGGTTGAGAGGTAGAGTTAGAGAAAAGATGTAATAAGTGGTTTAAGGGTAAATGTTGTAAGGAGATGGGCGATTATATGTAATTTTCGAGTGTATACATGTAACCTCAAAAGAGATGATGAGTGAGTGATTGGGGTTTTGACATGTGGTTGTATATTCTCTTCCTTGATTCATAATAGTGAAATCTCTCTCTTCATTGACGTAACCCTAGAGTTGGGTGAACTGTGTAAAATTTTGTATTGTGCGTGAATGTGTATAATTGTTATTTCCATATATGCATGTTATAATACTATGTGATGATGTTTCTGCTATGTATGATGAATGAGGGATTTAACTCTAAAAAACAACCGACCGTTGAGTGGGTTGGAGGGAGTTATTAATCCCCAAACAACACTCTTTAATGTTTATATAAACATTTTTTCTCTCATAATTGAGTACGGTTTTTTGATATCGATTTATAGAAATTTGAGAATATATTTTTTAGTGTTTTTCGCAAAAAATCGTTTTGATTTTCTGAATATTTTTTAGTTTTGAGAGCACGCACTATTTCACATGAGTGATATTAAGTTAGTGTCTATATCTGATCAAAGTTCGTACCAATTAAAGATTTGGTTGATTTCGTTCAACAAATCATGTGTTTCATTTTACCTTCACAAATCTAGGATTGAATGAAGGACGATTCAATCATGCTACAAAGACGACAGAGCATTTGAGGAGTTTTCGTGTTCTTCCAGCTACCCTTCTACAAAGATTGAACAATAAGCCTGAAGTCAAAAGCGTTTAGACTGGGGAGTCACAATGTCAAAGGTATACAACTACTTCTTGGTAGAGAGTAGTGGTGTGAGTTTGAGATACAGTCTATTGTACTTAGCTTTGAGATAATTTATCGTTTCGCTCTATACTACGAAAATCTCTGCAGCTTTCGTTGCGATTGGTCGAATTTCTTCCAACAAGGATTTCTATGCTAAAAACTCAGTGCCTTTATAAACTCTAGTTTATTTACTTGTATTTTATTTTTGTTATAATTTTAATTGTGTAGGTAAAAATAAAAAATAAAGAAACAAGTTACTATTTTATTTATGTAATAATTTTAATTGTATACGTAAAATTAAAATACAAAAAAAAAAAAAAAAAAGGTTACAATTATTCACCCCTCAGTGTTTTGATAATTTACATTCCAATGCTATTTCGCATAACTCAACTTACAACAAAATGAACTCAGCTGCACCTCTAACTAGAAATTGAATTTTGGATTATTGTTTGGGCAAATTACAAATAGCACCCATGAGGTTTTCAACTCATGCACCTAGATAGAAGTATGCGCCATATATTAGTCAATCACCCTTGTGGTTTCATTGACCTAACACATGATCACTATTCTTGAGTGTTGCATCAAATCAGTGTATGGTAACTATATTTTTGAACAAAAATAACCTTGCCATTGTGAGAAAATCAAACTGTCCATTAGTTGAATTGAAATTATATTATTCCAAAAGGACAAAAGTATGGAGATGATATTGATTTTTTATAGATGTAAACCTTAAAAGGATCAATCAAAATGTGACAAATAAATATGATCTAGGGTAAATATGATTTATTAAATCCTAAAATGACGAATAAACCATAAAAAATGAGGGGAATATAAGAGGACGGGTAACACAGTAAGTTACACTCACCCACTCTCTTCCAGATTTTTTTTTTTAAACAATAGTTATGTGCATTAAGGTCATATACGTAAATTTACTTTCATTTCTAAAAGACAACTAGTCAATTTAGACTCTACTGTTAATTAGCGCATACTTTTATTTAGGTACACGAAATGAAAACCTTTCCTAGGTGCTTATATTCTTATTTCAAGTAGTGTGATCATTTATTTTTATTTCCATTTATTTAGGTACACGAAATGAAAACCTTCCTAGGTGCTTATGTTCTTATTTCAAGTAGTGGGATCATTTATTTTTATTTCCATTAGTGTGATCGTGCTCCATTTAATCAATTGCGTTTATATTTGAGTATTAAAACATTGCACCTATTCATATCATATATGTGTGTGTATATATACATACATACATACATACATACATACATATATATATATATATATATAGAGAGAGAGAGAGAGAGAGGGAGGAGGTTAGACAAGTCAAAATGTGTCCTCTATATGGGCCTTAAGCTGGTTAGATTAGGTTACTCCAGTCCCGGTCATTTGCTCATTTTAAACGCAAGTCGAATATAGACTAGCTCTTCCAACGAGGTCAAATCCCAAATATTACTCCCAAAATTAAACCAAAAGAATTGCCAGTGGCAGACAACATCTTCATCTCTCCACATGCAAATAAAAACATCATATGACCATTTTGCATATCCATCTTAATTTGGCAATATGGAAAAATGCAGATCTATATATAATATATAACGCATTTAACACAAATAATAATAATAATAATAAAAATAATTATTGAATTAATGACATTATAGTATATATGAAAGAAAGGTTTTTACATAAGAGGAATAGAAAATACTCTTCATTGTTATGTTTATGTTCTTTACTTTCTCCGGATAAAATGCCAACTATCTCTACCTCCAAACTCCAAATTCATACAGCCACACCATCACACACAAGAAATTCTCGTGTGTGTGTATTCATGATCCTTTTTCAATTGGGTTTGGATTCAAATGCAGAGATGGTAGGCAATTTAACATGGACATAGAAAAAAAGAACATATAATGTTATTCAACATCATATATAAAAGACTAGACTAAGCAGTCCATGGGACCAAAAAAAAAAACCAAAGAGACCATTTGAAGGTCTAGGGAGGAGCTGCATGTTTGAGACACTGCACATGATGCTCCTCAACCCTCCTACTCTTCTTGGACAGAGGCTCCGGCGACGAAGACACCGATGCTGCTGCCACTGTCACGGCCTCCACCGCCCACGAATCGTTCGAGCTATCGGAGCTGAATGACACATCAATCACACCATTTGGGCTTCCGGGCATGGATCTAAACTTGCGTTTGTTCAAGTGGTGACCAAGTCCTCTTGATGTGTGTTCTTGGATTAGTTTATGACAATCCTCCACTATGTCCTGTTAATTAGCAAATACAATTAAACACATACATACCATTTTTTCCAAGTTTAAGATAATGAACACGCACAATATTACTCCATTGAAATTTCAACATACCATATAATGAAACTAGTGGTAAATTCAATACACCAAAAAAACAGTATTATTGTACAACGTGAGATAAAAAAAAGTCCAAACCTTGTTTATTCCAAGAATACCCAAAAGCTGATTTTGGTACTCGACTCCTATACAGGGCTCTATACCGTTGATAACATGCAGCATTGTAGCAGTAGCCATTACAGAAGGAAGATAACACATGAACCTACAATCTGCATATATATACAAATATATATATTATATTGGGGATTAATATCAGAAATACCCGAATGAGAGATTAATTATAAGAGACTTGTATTGTATGATATTGTTAATGAAAATGAATTGCATATATATATATGTATGTACCTGAAATGAGGGAGAGAGTGAGACACTCGCATCTCTTGAGGAATTCACAACAGAGGTGGCTCTTCAACCCTAGCCTCCTTGTCATGAAATCAAGAAATGAGATTGGGGTCACAGGGTTCATCTTCCATTGAAGCGTTGACAGCACCAAAATCTCCATTCTCTGAATCGTTTTGGCCTCAAACACATACCTACTCTCCTCCACCTTACAAAATCAAATCACACCCAAATTTCATTAAAACCCAACAAAAAACCCATAACACATTTAAACTTGTAAAAATCAGAAAATTAAAACCCATCAAAGTTACACACACACAAATACAAATCAAAGACTCAAATTTGATTAAAACCAAACAAAAAACAAAACCCACTTGTAAACATCAAATATAAAAAGACCCATCAAAGTGATATATATATATATACACACATATAAACATACTTGGAGGTCTAATAGCAGGGGCACTTGAGTCTCCTCTACTTTGGCAGCAAGGGAGAGACAAGCCACAGCAACTAGTTGGGTCATCCATGGCTTGTCTCTCTGAAAGTGGAAGGTAAAGAGGAACCTATCAAGGTAGTTGACTGCAAGAACAGCAGTGAGAGCAGAGAAGGAATAGTGGGCAATGACCTCCAATATCCATGCAATGGCCTCACGGCGAGCCTTAGCCAGAGATGGGTTTGTCTCGAGGTTAAAGTGGAGGTGGTTTTGCTCTTCTTTTGAGAACAAAGAGCCCAACTCTTCATCTTCCCAGAACAAATCTAGATCTAGCAACAATGGAGGTCTGTGGTTGATATTGTTGCTGTAATAGCTGTCCTCCTCGTCTTCTTCACACCAATGCTCTTCTTCGCAGTATAAAGCATCATCTAAAAGAGATGATTGTGGGTTTTGTTGTTGTTGATGTTGTTGTTGGGCCATCTTCTTCTGAGAAGAAGAGGTTTGGGTCTGGGTTCATTATAGGCCAAAGAAAATGGAGAAGAAAGAGAAGCCAGATGGGACAGCTTGAGGCATATCTGTCTCTCTCTCTCTCTCTTCTCTTTCTCTCTCTCTTGTGAAGGGAAGGGTAGGGAAGGGGGAGAGTGAGCAGTGCCCAAAGGTAGTGTTTTTATTTGTGGGTTTCGCGCTTTGTTTTTTCATTTTTTTCTTTGCTATTTATCCTTATTTTAGAAGAGGGATACTTTACATTATTTTATTTTAAATAGCTAAAATGAAAGTTCATCGATAAAACTTACTCCACAAAAAATGCATATCTAAGAATTTACTTTATGAAATAAAGTTCATGAGATCGTAGTTTACTGATGGTAGTTCATTCTCAATTTTAATGGTATTATATTCTTAATTTAATTATATCGATTTCATTTAATAGGAGAAGCACGTCTCATTTATCTTAAAATACTTTTTATATGCGGTATCTATCAGACATCATAAAGTTAGATAGGCTCACAATGGAATTTTATACCAATCCATATTATCACTCATTTCCAAAACTTTTTGAAATACCACTTCTCATTTTTTATTATCTTTATGAAAAATGTTATTGTTACTCCACTCATGTATAATTGCAATTAACCTTTTCTTAAAAAATTTGGCATAATTATCCTACTAAAACCTTTTGTGATATAATTTTGTTATTTTAAAAAACAAAAATAAAAATCAAGTGAAGTGAAGTGAAGTATCTGAAAGTAGAATGCGGATATTCTATTACAATTATCATCAATAATGATTATAATTTAATGCTGTCTTTTTAATCTCTCAAAGTGAGAGGTGGAGAATTCATGTATCACACGAGCAAATTAATGTGTGAATTTTATATAAAAATAAATAATAAATAATAAAAAAATCTGTGAACAAATCAATGTGTGAGTTTCATATATATATATATATATATATATATATATATATATATACAAAATCCCGATTATCCAAGTGTTTATGTAAGGGTGGGTAACAAATTTTTATGGGTTTATTTTTAGCAAAATAGTTCAACTAGAGGCATTTTCACCTAATATTAATAGACTCCATCTATCCTATGGATCTATGAATGAAATTTTTAAATAAATTTGTGCTGCATTCATTGATGTTGGGGGAAAGTAATGTTAATGTAAGACAATGCAAAAGTGTTTATGAAAATATCTTAGTTAGAACTAGAAGGACTTGAATATGATTAGTTTGTTCTTTTACTTGTTTTTAAATTAGGGTAAAGTGGGAAAAAAAAAAAAAGAGGAAAAAAAAGAAAACACATATATATAAAATGCGAAAAAAAAAAACACCCTTACTATTTGTTATTTTCATATAAATCCTATATATTCAACATTAATTGCTCCAAGCCATTAATTTTGACAAATTTTTTTATAAGAACCCAAATAGCCCTCAATGCTGATGTAAGTAAGGAAAAATATATAATTAAAATATTTTATAAAATGTTAGAAATAAAAATATATGTATATACATTCATTGTAATACTCCTAATATATATATATATATATATGATTTTAATTGGGATATTAGAGATAACATATTATCTTTTAAAAGTTTAAATTTAAAAAGAAAATCCTTAAATTATCTCACATGTGATATTATCTCTCATCATAAAAGCATCAATATCTTCTAAATCAAAATGATCCTTACCACAAGACAAATCATTGAAATTTCTACATACAAAGTCTCTTTAATACAACGAGTCCCCATAACGATTATCACATCTCAAAACTATCATTTAAATAAAATCTTTCCACAAGAGAATCAAAGAGGGAAGTCACCACAAAACATTCACCGGTCACTAAGTGACAAACCCCAAACGAATCAGAAAACATAAGTGTCAACAAGTCTCCCAAAATATCTCTAAAGGCAAACTCTCTAAAGAAGTCATCAACGATCACAAAACTGTACAATCCACCACCATCCTAAAACAGATCCACAAAAAAGGCAATACACCAAAAGCACAACGCTGGATTAAAATCCTTATCATGGACAACCAAATCCTCAAAACACAAGTCTACCACGTAGCTCACAAATCACAATCCCGACAACCAAGGTCACAAAACCCGATGCATCAATGCATGAATGACAAAATGGTATGAACACCATGAATGAATAATTATTTTCAAGTCACATGCTCACAGGTAACAACCCAAACAAGATAGTTATTTTCGATTCACATGCTCGCAGGTAACAACCCATACTATAATGTCATGAATGAAACCCATTAATGAAACATCAAAACAAAATACCAATAGGGGACCATGTCCCTCATCATAAAATAACCACATAAATAGTGACTGTTGAGCGTTGAATATTATATATTCGAGCCCCTAAATATACATATGTTAAGACCTAAAGTGATACTTCTATCCAGTTTTATACTAATTTATGTTTATTTCATGTTTTTAGGTGTTTTCCCAAAGAAATGGTTAAAACCGAGCTTTTATGATGAAAAGACTGACATTGAAGATCACGGAGTCGTTGCTGGTCATTTGAAGCAAGTCCAGAGTCAAAATGGTGATTTTGGAGAAGTCCAAGTGTCAGGGCTCGAGCCTATGTTCCTAAGGCTGGAGCCAGAAGTCAAATAGAAACAAGAATTCCAACTAAGGCAAAAAGGCTCGAGCTATAACTTTAAGGCTTGAGCCATAACTCAAGGTGTTCAAGCCCTTGTAAAAGTGCTCGAACCCAATTTACGTCGGAATATAAAAAGACACTTTGGAGGATTCCATATTGCCAAATTTCGAGCCATAACTCAAAAAGCTTGAGCCTTTAACAAAAGGCTTAAGCCCAAGACCCCAAGGCTCGTGCCTCAGAAGACAGTGATCGAACCCTGTAGTACAGTGATCCAGTACCATGAAGATTCATCCCCAAAATATTCTAAGTGTTGATGAAAAAGACGCTTCGGAAATTATTAGAAGAAAATTAGCTAAGTGTTAAAGTTTTGCTTGAGCCCTATCTCAGGAGGCTAGAGCCCCAGCTAAAAGGCTCGAGCCATACTTTCGAGACTTGAGCCCTTGCTGTTTAGTCAGACTTTCAGATGCGGGATTTGTCTTATTGAAGTCCTCTTTCATCCCAGATGAGCCCAAATTACTCCAAAAGACCTACAAGCCTATGCAACCCTTAATAGAAGTTAATTCTTCTATAAAAGGAGGCACAAGGCCACAAATCAAAGTCCCTCTCCTTAGTTATAATTCTCATAATTAGTGGCGGCTTTTTGGGTTTCATAAGGTGAAGATCTCAAGAGGAGAATTGCGGTCCATGATGATGAAGACCACAACAACATAAATGATCTTGCATTATCACGAGTAGCTAATTCATCTCTTAGGGCATTGATGTAACCCAGATTCGAGTATTATGGTTTAATCGTTCTTAATTTTGGGGATTTATATGTTTATGTATCTTGATTGCATAATTATGAGTAACTGATTACGAATCAATTAGTGTTTTAATGAAATAATAGTTTTTGAATGATTATTACCTTGTTTTAGATATAATTGTTCTTAAACTGTTCTCAACCCATTCTAATTGTACGGTATTTGGTGGAGGCCTATCGGATGTAAGAATGGAGATTATGCAATGGTGTTCAAACATTTTTCATAAATGAATGCTTTCATAATCTATGCCTAGGGAAAACGAGTTATACTGCAACACTAGATTAGAAGTAAGTAGATAAGTAATTCGTGTCAACCGAAGGTAGGTTATAGTTAGTTGAAGTTCATATAATATCTTTCTTTCAAACCCGAATTAAACGAATGTTATTAAGTTTAATTCATCTGATGCATAAATTGTGAATTCCCAAGGTTGAATGGTTAATCATTATATGAGATTCATGGTGAAGTCAATCCCTAAGACTTTCTCTCTCTTGATCTCTCTTTAATTTAGTTTTATTTTATTTTATGTTCGTGACAAACAATTAAACAAATCAATTTTTTCCTTGAATCAAAATAATATTAATTGGATGCTTAAATAAAATGCAATCTCTCTGTGGGATCGACACCCTCTATATAGTTTTATTCTACAAAGATTCGTGCTATTGCGAGTGGTATAATTTGACACGCACCAATTTTTGGCACCATTACCGGGGAGATTGTAACGGTTTATTGAGTTGAAAATTAGTTTTATTTTGATTATTAGTTTTAGGACTTTCGTATATCTCATCTTATTCTTTTTCTTTTCAAGGGCAAGATTCTAGCAACGAGGGCAAAGATGTTTAAGGAACTTTTGCTTCAGTTTTTGGACCTTTTGTGAGTTCTTGTGGTTTTCTTTACTTGGAATTTTTCTTTTTGTTACTACTCTTGCAATTTGATTTAGTACATGTTAAGTTGTCGATCTCAATCAGAACCAATAATTGTGTATGACCCTAAAATAGAGAAAACTCTGACTCAACTTAAAAAACTTAAAAAAAATTCTGAATTGTTAGGAGAATCCTTAAGGACAAACATGGCTAAGCATAATGCACCACCAAATGGAGAACAAGTGCCACAAGCACCTGTTCCTTCACCATAACTACAATTGAGGGATCACTTCATTCGTACTTCATATACCACCCCTTCGTGCTTTCAATTTCTAAATCCTAATGCAACCCACTTTGAGATCAAGCCTGCTATGATCCAAATGCTTCCTACTTTCCATGGGTTTGCAACAAAGGATCTTTATAAGCACTTGGATGTGTTTCTAGAATTGTATTCAACTACCAGGTTGTCCATTCTTTCAGATGACGCATTTAGGATGCAACTTTTTCAGTTCTCTCTCTCAAAAACAAAGCAAGAACCTGGTTGCATGCTCTTCCACCTAATTCCATATTTACTTAGGACATGTTGTAATCAGAGTTCTTAAAAAAGTACTATATTGTGGGTAAAACCACACAAATGAGAAGAAAATCATGACGTTCTCCCAAATCCCGGGTGAACAACTCCATGATTCATGGGAAATATATAATGATCTTCTGATAAAGTGTCCACGCCATGATATTGCTAAATGACACTTAGTGCATATTTTTTATGATGGTCTTTCTGATTCACATAGGAATATGGTTGATGCCTCCATCATTGGAGCTTTTCTTTATAAGAGTGCTACTGAAGCTTGGGAACTATTTAAGCCCTTAAGTGAAAACTCCATGCAGCATGTGTGACGGCCCTGGTTTTTCAAGCTAG